ATATTTCTATTTGCAACTTTTTGAGAAAGCGCCATACTGCATTCCATAGTGGCTGCACCATTTTACACTTCCACCAACAGTGAATAAGGGTTCCAGTTTCTCTGCAACCTCGCTGGCATTTGTTGTTTGCTACTCTGTTAAATTTTGCTATTCTTACTGGGGTGAGATAATATCGCATAGTTGTTTTGATTTACATCTCTCTTAGAGCTAGGGATTTTGAACATTTCTTCATGTATTTGTTGGCCATCTGAATGTCTTCTTTGGTGAAGTGTCTGTTCATATCTTGTGCCCTTTTTTCAATTGGGTTACTAACCTTTATCTTGTTGTGGTGCTGGAGTATTTTATAAATTCTAGATATAAGTCCCTTATCTGACATGTCATTACTAAATATTTTTTCCCAGTCTGTGGTTTCCCTTTTTACTCTGTTGGAGAAGTTTTTGGATGTGCACAGGGATTTGATTCTTAGAAGGTCCCATTCATCTATTTTATCCTCTCCTCATTGTAGATTTTTCAGGATCTTGGAACACTATTTATGTTGTGGATTAGGACTTCTAGAGTTCTTCCAAGCTTTTCTTTAATGAAATGTATAGTCCTTGGTTTTAGTCCTAGGTCCATGATCCATTTTGAGTTGGCTTTTGTGTACAGAGTGAGGTATGGATCTTGCTTGAGTTCTCCACAAGTAGTTTTCCAATTTTGTTAGCACCACTTGTTAAAAAGGCTGTCATGTCCCCACTTAACTGATTTCTCTAGCTTTTTATATTAATAGTCCTACTCAATGGCACATAACAACAGCATGCCGTAATTGTCTTTTTGTGACTGACTTAAATCATTTGCTATAATTTGATGTAGAATCATCCATATTGTGCAGTATTTCATGAATTCTTGAGTCATTTGTTTTAAGTGATGCTTAATAGTCAATTATGTAACTGTACCACCATTTCTTTAGCCATTCGTCCATTGATAGATATCTGGGGTGTCTCTAACTCTTTGCTTTTATAAATAAAGCTTTAATAAACATAGGTGTGAGTATGTTGTCTTGCTATGCCTCTTGTTTCTCCTGGCTATATACCTAATAGTGGGATTGCTGTGTCCAAGGGTATTTCTAGTCAAAACTTTCTAAGAAAAAAAACCCTGTTTTGCACAGTGGTTGTACCATTTTGCATTCTGACCAGCATTGTATGAGAGTTGTAATCTCTCTACACCATCACCAGCATTGTATGTTTGCCATCTTGTTGAACTTTAGTATTTTTGCTGGAGCTAGACGAGTTATGATTTTGGAGAAGAGTACTCAATATTCTATGGACTGCCAAACTAACAAACAAATATGTCCTGGGAAAGTTCAATGAGGGTGTTCCTAAAGAAAGGATGATGAAACATCATCTCATATATCATGGACAATAGTATTATTGTCCAAGTGATCGCTTAGAGCTTAGAAAGAGACATCATGCTTACAAAGGCAGAGGTTCAATGAAAGAGAGGAAAGTCCTCAACACAATAGACTGATAACAGTGACTGTAACAAGGGGCTTAAATATATTGGAGAGGATGAGGATGGCCCAGGGTAGGCCAAGGTTCTGATTTATTGTTTATGGGGTCACTATAGGCATAGTCACCTAACAACAACAACAGATGGTGGGGAAAAAAAGAGGAGCAATCTGCTCGCATGTTACTGACAGGCTCTGAAAGCCTGCTGGAGTAGGTTCTGACTTGAGGGTGTGTGAGAACATCAATGCAACAGTAGCTAGTGATCTTGAGCAGTTCTTCATGAGTTTGTTGGCTGTCTGCATGCCTTCTTTGGTGAGGCATCTATCCATGTCCTCTTTCCATTTCATAATTGGGTTGTTTGTCTTTTTCTTGTTAAGGTGTTTGAAGTTTCTAGAGATTTTAGGCATGAGTTTCTTGCCAGATGTGTCACTGCTGACCATTTTCCCTCTCAATCTGTAGATCACTTTTTATTCTTTTGAGGAAGTCTTTTGATGACCCTTAGGATTTCAACTATAGGAGGTCATATTGATCCCTCATCTCTGTTAATTGTGCATCAGTTAGAGTTGACAGTCTATTTTTACCATAGCTTAGGGCTCTTAAGTTTTCCCCAGTTTATTCTTTGATGATCTTTGCAATTTTAGGCTTTGTGTCAAGTTCTAGCTTTTTTTTCTTAATTTCTTGTAAGTCAATAAAAGGAATTTAGAGGTCTTTAAATGATAGACAAGAGTGTACATGTGGGTGCAAAGAGAGGGAGTGACCATATCAGAGACAGACTCAGCTGGGCAGGGCAGTGAGACTTTGGCAGGGGTCATGGTCATGGCCAGGCACCAGCCAAAGGTAGTAAAGTTTCCTGAACTGTGAGCCAGGTCTTCAGGGAATGTTCCTCAAGCTTTGTGAATCCCTCTTCCCCCTGACCTGGAGAGAGTCCACTCTTTCAGAAAGCAGCCTTCACACTCTTTTTATCTCTTGTTTCCTAAAAGTACTGTTCTGAGAGGGGATATGTTTTTTTCCCTGGTGGTCTCAGGAATATCTGGTTATCTGTAGACTTCTGAACCTCATGTGCCAACACAAAGCATTTTATAAGCCAAGACTTTCAGTGGTGAAAAAGAGAAAGAGTTCTGTACACGTTCACCCAAATCACAAGGATTTTTTTTTAATTTAAAATGTTTTTAATTTGGTGGAATAAGACCATTCAGAAATGGTTCAGATAATTCAATTGAAGTTTTTTATGGTATGTTCCAAAGCATGAAACTCCCTTAATTAATTCCAAGTATGAGAATTCATCAAAAAGTTGAAAGCATATGTAAGAAATTTGAGGAAATATTTTTGAAAAACTATTTTCCTACTATGAAAGGCTGTATGATGCTTTCTCTAAAAGTTGCAAATAGAAATACCATTTGACCCAGTAATTCCACTACTGGAAATATACCACAAAGAAACCATAACTGCCACCCAAGCAGATATATGCACACCAATGTTTATCAAGGCTTTATTCACAATAGCAAAGAGTTGGAAACAACCTAAGTGCCCATCAACAAACGAATGGATAGAGAAGCTGTGGTATATTCACACAAAATACTATGCTGCATTGAAAAACAAGGAACTCATGCAACATTATTGAAAATGGGTGACCCTGGAGGACATTATGCTGAGCGAAATATCTCATTCACAAAAGGATAAATGCTGCATAGTGCTACTGTTGTAAAATGGGTCTGACATTGGGACTGGGGTGAGACTGAGAAAGATGGGATAAATTATGTATACTTCATTGAAACAGACGAGAGACAGAACTGTTTAAAAGGGATATATGATTAGGTATTACTGTCATGATAGGAGTCCAGAATGAAGGCTTCATAGTGGAGAGGACTTGGAGGGTGGGGGGCAGGGAGAAAATGTGCAATAATGAATGAATAGAAATCCAAAGTCTCTGTAAACATTCATTAAAATTAATTAAAAATATTAAGGAATAATATACTGAAAAAAATATTCAGTTTAAAAAACAACAAAAAACAAAACAAAATTATTTTCCTAATTATTGAGGAATAATGGCACATTCACACAATGGAATACGATGCAGCGTGCAGAAGCAATGATTTTGAAAATGACTACTTAACTTGGGAGGGACTGGAGAACATTATGCTGACGGAAATAACTCAGTTCCATAAGGACAAATAATGTATAAGACCATTATTGTAGAAATAGAATGCTATCTAGTAAAACGTGTATGAGGATCCAAGGTGGGAGGGTAGGAGCAGAGGGGTGAGAGTGGGTGGGGAGGGGTGGGGTAATCATAGGGTTGCATAATTGGATGAGTAGAGAGTGGGGTCAATAAAGAAAATGAGAAATATCTGGTTTGAAAAACAATATATATGAACTTTGTGTATAAAGCAATATAAAATAAAAACTTTTTAAGACACCCCCCATTTTCCTTTTATTTATAACATCTTTGAAACTATAAAGAAATAGTTTCTTTTTAAAAAAAATTTTCAAGAGTAAGAAGTAGAAATGAGAAGTGAAAATTTCTCTCCAATCTTATTATTTGGAGTCCCAATTAATAATCCTAAATCGGGATCTCTGGTGGCCTAGTGCTCAGGAGCTGTGCTGCCAACCTGAATACGTACGTGCCCATTTGAATTCACTAGTTGCATCTCAGAAGAAAGATGGACAGTTTCCTCCCATGCCATTTACTGCCTCTAAAAAGCTGCTGGATAGTATTCTATCTGTCAGTTCCAACTAGATGGTACTCAACAACAACCCCAAAAGGTCACTCCAGAAGTAAAATTTCTAAATAAGAACCTACAGTTATTGAAAATGTATTTTCTTTCCTTTTTTAATGATCCATAATAGCAAAGAAGATCATTGAACTTAAGAGGGCCACATGGGGGAAAGTGAACCAGTGTATTAAAGCCACATCTTCTGTGAGGTGTGCAGCTAACCTGTGTGCTGTTTCATTCTCATATAATGCTGAGTAATTTGCTGAGGCTAAGCTTTGGAACCTGGATCTTTGGTCTCCATATCCAGTGACCTCTGTGCTCCATGCGCTGTGGGAGAAGGAGGCTTGGCTGTACCTCTGAATCTGGGTTGTAGTAAAGGGAACTGTCAAATGACGAGTGGAGACGTGGAGGGTGTGAATCAGCTCAATTGGCAGTGGCTCTGTCAAAGGCCCTTCCCCTTCTCAGTCTTGCAACAAGTGGGAGGACGAAGCAGGCTCTGTGAGGACAGTACCTGAGACTCAGTCACCTGGCACTGGCCCTGCTGATAGCTGACTGCCCTTTCCTCTGTGCGGTTTGACACAGACGTAAGGGGGTATGATTTGCCGTGTGTGATTATTTGTGGTTTCCTTGATTATGTAAACCGGTGGCTTTTGCCAAGAACTCTCTGTGCTGGGAAGCTCCACACTGATTGCCTCCCATTGGCCAACGTTTTGTTCCATTTCTTTCAAGTTGCAGAGCAGTGATAACTGCCAGTGTCTCTGGGCGTGCAACACCTGGAGTTCAGGGGCCCCAACCTGTGACAATGACAGCAGACGAGTTGGTTTTCTTTGTGAATGGCAAGAAGGTAAGCAGAAGCTGACCTTTGGTTTGGCTGTCTCTGGCCTGGGCGGGGACCTCACGGTGTGGGAACATTATTCTCATTCACTCCAGTTGCATCCTCACTTATTCAGTCTCCTCTTTTTTTTCCTCTCTCCCTTCACAGGTATTTTTAATATATTTGGTAACTTGGGTGAGGAAAATCTCCTCAGGGATAGAACACAGATAGTAGACTTTCAGGATAAAGGAGAAAGAGGAAGGCAAACAAGAAGAGAGGTGTCAGTGAACTCACTGCTAACTGCAGTGGGAGAGAGTCTGGTGCTGAAGCTGCAAAAGGGGACAGGGCTCAAAGTGAGGACGGGCAGCATCAAGCGCATCTCACTGTCAGTGAGCTTCAAGAAATAAATCCTAATGTTTGGCTGTTCTCTTTATTCAGAGAAGCAACAGACATGCTGCTTCTTGCTAACACCAGGATATAAAATGTACACAGCCTGGAGTTCTGATATAGTGTGCATATAAATGTTAACAGCTAGTCTCAGACTTACTGTGTGAGAACATATACTGACATCCTCTGGTGGGTTGCCATGTTTGTCCCATAAAGGACCTCCTTCTCCATTAGTTTAATTCTACATATAAATATTGGGATTCTCTTACTCACATAAAAAAGTCATCAGCCACCTGAATGGACATTATGTATGTACTGGTGGAGGAAAGGGGCAGAGGGTGTATGGCAAGGGTCAAGCCCTTGGGAGACCACCAGGGTGGGCATCTTTGCAGATTTTAGTGTAGGTGCAGGTAGAGATGGGGCCAACACACTGCGTTCTTTGCAGCCCTTCTTTGCCCTCGCTGCACCATGGTGAAGGTGTCCCTGAAAGCACCAACTACCTGCTTGGGAATCAAAGGGCAAATGAAACGTTGGACATGGTGGCATGTAGCCTTGTGATCCCCAGGGTCCAAGGACTGTCATTCCTTAACCCTGTAACTGGCCACGTGGAGAATGTGAGCAGTGAGTGTGCCTAGTTTATTTTGCTACATTCGTGCTTTCTGGAAAACAAAGAGGCTAGATGACATTTGAGGCAATTTTCAAGACCCTAATATGTACTTGTAAGGTTTCTGGAAAGAAAGAAGGTCCTCAAGTAGATGGGTTAACACGGTGGGCTTTGCACAGTAGAGACTGTGAGGACTGGGCAGTGTGTGTTTTGTTGTGCGTAGTTGCTGGGAATTGGAACTGACTTATGGTCACCTGACAACACAAGACTTCTAGGACTTATGCTGTCAGGGTGTGTTTAGGTGACTAACACAGTAATTTTCTGAGCAATTTCAACATCAGTGCTCCGGAGACTGGTTCTGTTTGAGTGGTGGCCCCTGGAGGCACTGGGGGAGGGATCAGTCATGGTCTCCCAGGCTCAGAGTCACCTCTCTCTGCTGCTTCCTTTTGAGGGCTGGTGACATCAAGAGGTAAAATAAGAGAAAGGACAGTGTCCAAGTTAATGGCAGGTTTTTGCATCTAATATTTTAAACAATATTGCATTCAGCAATCACATTGCATTCATTTAAGAGACAATTTTTGAACTGGCTTTTCAGAAGTGTTGTTTACACAATTTTTTTTTTAAATTATCTAAGTAGTATTTACAAAGGAAGCACTGCTGGCTTAGTGGCAAGAAGTGGTGCTGCAATCCTGAAGGTACACAGTTCTAATCCACAAGCTACAGAGGGACGTGCAATCTCCTTCAGGGCGATTAATTGACTCTGAAAACCCTCCGGAGGGCCAGCAATGGGTTGGTTTAGAATTGATGATGCACATAACAACAACAAAAACAGTATTTATATTGAGTGAGAGACTGGATTAGATCACTCTGAAGACCACATCTAACTCTAAGGTTTTTATTATTTGTGAAGCCCTCAATTCAAGAGTGGCAGTATAAGTAAGTCCTGTTTTCTTTGGAGACAGTTTGCTATCACATACCACATCTAGCAAGGGTCATCTGAGGCAAGTCTGGCTTGGTGAACATTCTTTTCTTTTGAATGTTAATTTCCTTTTCCGAAGGCAGTTTTTAAAGATGATGTCATCACATCAAACCTTACCACCTCTGGCAGCTTCTGCAACTGCCAGTTTCTGTGATGAAGACCCGTGTTTGTCATTTATAGAGTTGTGGCCTTTTGGAGAAATATGCTAGAAAGGTGGAGAGGTAATGAAAGAGTAATGAGGGGTACTGAGGGCTGAAAAACAAGCCCAAACAAGGAAATTCCAGTCATCAAGTCAGCTATGAGTATGTTTGTTTTCATGTCAACTTCCATGGTGCCCTGGACCTTTTGTTCCTGTGTGAAGTTACTGAAATTGATGACTTGTTCTGAAATGTGAACCTCCTCTTTTCCTTGTTTTTTTTTACCACTGTCCAGAATTCTGTCTTCATTGGCGAGGCCCTGAGTGTGTAAGACACAAAGAATATTTTTTTTGTTTTTTAAAAAAAAGTTTCAAACTTCCCTAAGGCTTTCGTGGTTGTGGACCTTGAGGACTATTATTTTCATGTCTTCTTTAGTTCGATGGTCAGAGTCAAAGGGAGTTTTGTACCATTGGAGTGCCAGTCACTTTGGGTCTTTCCTGAGCCGGCACTCTCTGTTTCGTGGAGGCTGTGGTCTCTGGAAGGGAGCTTCGGTGACATCGCCCAGTCACTTTGGGTCTTTTCTGAGCAGGCACTCTCTGTTTCGTGGAGGCTGTGGTCTCTGGAAGGGAGCTTTGGTGACATAGCCCAGGCGGAGTCGTGCTGCTGCTCCAGAGGCTGCATCTCACTGGTGGTTGTAGCACAGCAGTGGCTCCATGATCCTTGAGAGGAAAATGGACAACCTCCTCCTGTGCCTTTTACAGCCTCTGAAAAGCCACTATGGGGTCAACTGAGTTATAATTAAATCATAATGAGTTTTTAGTACAGTCTGGAGGAGTTGGGGGAGATTTGGCATGTAGGGTGTCCCTGAAAGTGCTTACAAGTGAGCTCCAGTTACTAGTGGCGGCTCCACAGCAGCTCAGAGCGATGCTCACTCGCTCATTCACTCACTTACTACTTATCAAGCTCTTTCTGTGTTTGAAGGTATGGCATAAGCTATCTAAGACTAGGTGTTTGCCAGTCACAATCTGGTGAACTAGTCGGAGAGGTGGAATATGAATAGATAAACTAATATGTACCAGGGTGTATTTCAAAGAAAATTAGTCCCATATTTCTTGTTTATTCATAAACCACTCAGTACATTGTGTGGCATGAGGTTAAGTGCACATTTAACATGAATGGAATGGACAACTGTACTAATATTAAAAGTCCTCTGGTGACCACAGAGACTTGAGCTGCAAACCCAAGGCTGACTCCTTTTGAGTGGCTCCAGTCTATCCACAGCTCTGCAAGGAGAAATAGGGGCAATCTCCTTCTGTGTAATTTACAGCTTCCAAAAACCCACTGGAGGGTCAGCAGTTCTAACTCAACGGCAGTGAGAATAAGTACTAAATAAGTCAATTTTTCAAATTTTGTATTTTAAAAAAGTGGCATCCACTTGCTGAACAGCATGCCTCTGGTAACTCTATAAACTTTGAGAAGTGATGATAGTTATAAAAGGCTTCAGGTCTTTTGTTTATACGGTTGCTATGAGTCGTGCTCAACTTGATGGCAATCATCAACAACAAAAACAATGGCAAAATTAAACTTAGAGTGAAGTTGCAGGAATATTAAATAAACCTTCAACAACTAAGTACACCTTATGCATGTACACCTTTTCTCTTGTTCTGTCTCTTTCCACCCCACCCCCCACATATACACACACAAGTAAACATGTCCATATTATGTGTGTAAAAAATTTCATTTATTTATTATGCATCTTACTAATATAAAAATATAAAAGAAGCATCTTTCTAAATTACATGTGTAATCTACCTTTAGTTAGTTCAGAAAGCAAGAACCATAGTCCATTAATAAAAATTTGAAAATTTAACATTGATATAATACTATTATCTAATCTATAAACCTTATATGCACATTTTTCTATTTTCTCAATCATTTTATTAGCAACAATTCCATTTCTTCCAAGCCTGGCATCTTGAATGTGCAGAGCACTTAACTGTTGTATCTCTTTAATGTCCTTTAACCTGGAATTGCTCCTCAGTCTTCTTTGATGTTTTAAAGGAAACTGGTCAGTTATTTATTTCTCATTTCACAATGAGCTCGTCTTGTGCCAGTTATGCCATAGAGTTAAAGGCAGAGTCAACAATTTGGGCAGGACTGCAGCTTAAATGAGATCTGATTCTCAGTGCATCGTTGAAGGAAGAATGAAATGGCAATTTTACCCAATTAGTGATGTGGACTTTGAGCGCTCAGCTAAGGAAGTGCCAGCCAATCTCCACACCTTCTTCTTTCATTTGTTATTAATAACTAATCTGTAAGAAGTTATTCTGAGTCTGTGCTAGTATATTGTTCCTCATCAAATTGTTTCTATTTCTTTTAGCTTCATTATGTTTCCTGGGAAATTATTGTGCTGATTACAAGTTGGCCAGCCATACTTATTTGTCATTATCCTTCGGAAAGAAAGAAAGAACTTTCTCTTCCCCATTTGTTTGTCTATTTATTCACTAATTATCAGTATGAACCCGTGAACTTTCATTTTTAATAGATATTGTTGGAGATCTCTCATTCCTTCTTATCAGTCTTTTTGAGAATTACTTAAACATCTCAGAGCCATTCCTCACTCTTGTGCATGGCCTTTATCATACTCATGACAAACATTTTCAGGTTTTTTTGTTTCAACAAACCCAATACTACTGCCTTTCCTTCAACTTGTCTGTCAACTGACAAGCCATCTATGGATAGGACAGACCTTCTCCTTCAAACTTCATGGAAGCAGGGAAGCCCTCTCAGCAAGTTTGAAGTGTAGAGCAGATACCTGCTACCTCTCTGCCTTGCAGGGTTCAACACAAAACTTCTCTTAGTTCATTCCAATAATCCAAAACCTTTTATACTTGATAATGAATGAGGGGTTTAAGATTCACAGATTTCCACTAACAGCTTGCAACTGGGTCTGACTCCTCACTTTGTAAACATCCTTCTTAGCTTACTGAACATACTGTTCATGAACTTTTGTTTTGTGATTTCTCCTCCGTTAATATTTTGGTAATATTGTTGACTGTGATAGCTCAGAATAAACAGTATTCTCTCTTTGGAGACTGGCTTTCTACAGTCACCCTGCATAAACACACTCGTCTGAGTATAAACACTCAACTGAGTATAAACAAGTCAACGTTAGATCGATATTATCGTTTGTGTGAACCAATGTCTGATTTGAAGGGGATTTGCCTTCATTAAAAGTTTCTTGAATGACACAAGTGGCTTATGGTCAACAAGCAAAGATTGCTGGTTTGAACCTTCTCAGCAGTTTTGAGGAAGAAGAATCTGATGATCTACTTATATAAAGATTACAACCAAAAACCTCTTAGAAAGCAGTAATACTTCATAACCCATAGGATTGATATGAGTTGGAATTGATTCAATGACAAGGGACTTCTTTTTGAGGGGGAGAGATTTGCCTTGATCAGGCAACAACACCTAGATTTTCTATGGTGAATTCAGAGAGGAAAATTAGAGTGAGATTTTAGAATTTAAGTATACGAAGATACACACAATCTGACTTTCAGTTAATCTATTTCTAACCAGGAGTCCTCAAGAAAATAAAATACCTTAAGGTTGATGATTTATTTATCTATGACCTTTACAAGTTCATGGATAAGGGCATGAAGACATTGCAGAGCAAAGACTAAGTTTAATATCTTTTTCTTCTTTCCTTCCCTACAGGTGGTGGAGAAAAATGCAGATCCAGAAACAACACTTTTGGCTTACTTGAGAAGAAAGTGTATCCTGACTTTGAAATAGAAAGTGGAAGTAAGGGAGGAGGGTCAACAGGGACACATTCTTTGGACTAGAGTGGTGAGAATTCCTGTTAGAATATGACAGTTGTCTGAGATCTTGAGCAAAATGACCACCAAAAATAATAACGCATTCATTGCCTTCAAGTCAGAATTAACTCATAGCTGACCCTCTGGCAGATTTTCAGAGTCTGTACATCATATGGGAAGAGACTGTCCAACTCTCTCTCCTGGACCTGCTGATGGATTCAAACCATCTCCCTTTGGCTTGGGAGAGCAGCTCCCTAACCCGTATATTCTTCTTGTTGTTATTATGTGCTGTCAGGTTGGAACTGACTCATAGCTAATCCTCCAGCATGTTTTCCAAAAGCTGCAAATCACATTTCAACTACATGCCTTTGGGCTGGCAGTACAGCTGTATATCACTAGGCTACCAGAGTTCCCCATCCCCCATAGGAATTAACTTCTAACGAGTACTTAACTAGTATAGTATTAAAAATTTGGCTGCTAACTGAAAGGTCAGTGGTTCAAACTCGCCAGCCACTTTGTGGGAGAAAGACAAGGCAACCCGCTCCTATAAAGGTTTACCACCTCAGAGACATTAAGAGGTCTTTCAACTTACTTGTGAGCTGGAATCAACTCAATGGCAGTAGGTTTGGTGGTTGGTTGTTTTTTGCTGGTTTTTTTGTTTGTGTTTTTTTTTTTTTAAATATTCTGGCAGAGTTCAAAGTGCGTAAAGATGTCTCGCTTAATCCCAGGGCCATTCCAGGAAACCGTGACTTTCCTTTTCACCGATGCAGAAATGAAGCCCAAATACAACCAATGAGCTTCATTTTTCTAGTATATTCTAGAGAAAAGTGAGCAGAGCTAAGAATAAAACTTCTCATGCATTGAACCTCTCAATAGAAAAGCTCCCATCAGGACTGTGGAGCTGACCTCATTAACCCATCGCTACTAGAGAGATATAAGCACGGAGATCTGGTAGTCCACTACAATAAATGAATCTGTTTTGAAGGAGAAAAAGAACCACAAACCTATTTCAACATCCACAGAAGCAAACGTGGGACCCATGGTCTTTTGCTTTCTTTTTCTCTGCTCCATTTACTTTCTGTTAGGCAGAGGGTAATTCTAAGGTATTTTAGGTATTTTGTTCTAGAGATTTGACCTGGAGTGGGCAGGTCTGGGGAGGTTTATGGCAGTCATGGTTGTGGTGTTTTCCTGCTGTTGTTGTTGTTGTCTTAAAATATATGTTAAAGGAATCATTCAGGATCAAAAGACTGCATGGAGCTCCATCCCCGTTCATTTCCCTGGGAAGCCTAGGAAGAGACCCTCAGGATCTCTTTGGTTACCACAGCATTTTTAGTTTCTAATAAAGTATTGAAGACTAGAAATTTTTTTAAAATATCATAACAGGAGGCTGCTTTGAAATTCAATGATAAAAACCCGAAACTGAAAGCTGGCAGAAGTACAAAGTCCTTAAAACCTGTTGACTGCTGAGAGATCATTTATGAGAGTCCTGGACAAGTGAAGGCCCTAGACTTGAGATGTTCCCCAGATTCCAGAAAGATCCCCAGGCTAGAAAGATCTTGCTAGGCATCGGGTTGTTAATATCCATCTCTGTAGAACTGCCTGAACTGCTGATAACTGAATATACCCTGATTGTTTTTGTATTTCTTCAAGTCCGAACCAACCCACAGCTGCTTCTCCAGCAGGTTTCACATGGCTTACCTGCCCAGTGAGGCTGTAGACTTGGTGAAAACACACAGCCATAGGTTGACGATCCTGGCTTCAAGGTAACCACTCAGACTGGAGAGTCCCAGAAATTGAGTGCTGGGGATGACGCCTGGGTACTTTTCAATAGGATATTGATATCTTTCGTCTTTGTGAGGTGAAGTGGTTCCAATTTCCCTCCCAGGGAAACATGCTGCCTCTCTGAATGAGAGGCAGTGAGCTGACTGTCTCCCTGGTCAAAGGGTTTGAGTCCATGTTGGCAGTGAACAAATGTATCCATGCATTTCCACCCAGATATTTCCATTAAAGATGCATTTTCTTCCAGTCCGTGCTCCTTAACCCTTGACCACCCAGTGGGGCTGAGCGGGACTAAGCTTGGCTGTGGAGAAGGAGGCTGCGGGGCCTGCACTGTCATGCTCTCCAAGTATGATCACCTCCAGAAGAAGATCGTGTATCCTTTGCTTGCTCGTTAATTTCCCAGAGGACAGCTAGGAGCAGGGTTCATCTTATATGTGTGTGTGTGTGTGTGTGTGTGTGTGTGTGTGTGTGTATGCTCGATTATGAATGAGTCCCCATCATTCTGGATAGAAAAGCTATAGTGTCTTAGGAAATATCTCCCTGGCTTAGGTGTATTGACAAAACTCTTAACTGCTGATAAAAATAATCTTTCTTAAATCCAGAGGTTTCTCATTCCCCATAAAACCTTAAAGGGCTCTTAATTGCCCCAGGATGAAGTCCAAGCTCTGCTTGGCATGTAGCATGCTTCAGCCTTTGTCATCAGTTTTTGTGGTTTTGGGTTCCCTCCCCCTTCTAGGTTCAGCATTCTAATCATCTGAGAGAGTTATAAACGCCCAGTGCCACACACCCTCTAATTTCCTGGCTTTTGTGTAAACTTTTTTCCTAGTCTAGACTATCTTTTCTGAGAAGACTTCAGTCTCCTTCTGGCTAACTCTTCTTGCTGTCGAGTTACCTGAGACTCATAGCGACCCTATGTACAACAAGCCCTAAATCTGCTCTAACCTGTGCCAATCTTACTGTCTCTGACACACCGACCCCATGACCTTAGTCACTGAATCAATCCATCTCAATCAGGAGATGCTGTCCCTCTACCCTCCCAAGCATAACATCTCTCCCTCCCAAATACGACATCCCTCTCCAAGGACTGGTCTCTCCTTGCAACATGTCCAAAGTAGGTCAGACGAAGCTTCACAAGAAGCAGCCTGGTTTCACCTTCTCTAGGATGAATCTGCTTATTCTCTTAGCTGTCCATGGTATATTCAATACTCTTCTCCAGCACCACAGCACAAAGGCATCAGTTCTCCTTCTATCATTCCTAGTCATTGTCCAGCTTTCTGATGCATAACAAGTGATTGCAAAGACTATGGCCTGGATCAGGCACACCTTGCTCTCCAGACATTATATTGATTACAACACATCATGACTCTGTGAACCCTGTCCTATCCTGTACGATCCTCACAATCTCTGACACATTAGAGCCCATTGCAGCAATCACTGTGTCAATCCATCTCTTTGAGGGTCTTCCTCTCTTTCCCTGACCCTCCACTTTTCTAAACATGATGTCCCTCTCTAAGGAACAGCCTATTCTGGCAACATGCCGCAAGTTTGTGTGACATCCCGTCACATCTGTGCAGGCTTCAGTGGGAGTTGGTAATATGATTCGTGTGCCTGATTTGCTATTAGAGGTACAGCACTAAATTTTAAGCTTCCTTGCACTTTAGGGTCTGGAAAAAACATCATCTGTTTCAAACCACTTGACTTCTCAACATTGGATTAGATGCCTTTTGTCTGTTAGTTCCATCATGTCATGTCTACAGCTCTCCTGAAGCACTTACTGAAAAGATACTTAAATTACCACTCACACTTGTTCCTATTTCCCTTGTACTGTGTGCAGACTATAGGAAGTCCGAGTATCACCTTATCTATCTTTATTTCCTCACCCTCAGCAGAGTGCCTGGCATATGGTTGACACTCAGTAAATGATATGAACCAGGTAAATGTTTGACTGATGAATAAAGTGATGAGAGCCAGGAAGTTCTGTACAAGGCCCTGGTGTCTCATGCTGCCAGGGATTTTCCCTTGCTGTAACCCACAAAGGAGTGGGAGTAGCAGAGGTAAGTGAAAGCAGAAAGTTATGCAGTTGAGGAGACCAGAACCGCCTTACAGAAAGAGGAGTGCACTTCAGTACTGAAACTTTCCAGAAACATCCTCTTGATTCAGGCCCCATACCTAATTGAGCTGAGTAAGAGGCAGTTCAAAGTAACCCTGGATCCCTTGGCAGGTCAATGGTCTTGAGTGCACTGATGCCTGACTCCTCAGCTCTCTCAAAGAAGTCAGGCTTCACTTAGACAAGAACATCCTTGGTTCTAGCCCTGTTTCTTGGGCATAGTGGTTAGGACACCAGCCTAAGAAACCAGAACATAATGGTGAGGAGAAATAACATTAACCATCACAAAGTCTCTTCCATTCTGCACTCAGCTTCACTCAGGCCACCACTGGACAACAGAATGACCTTAATCTGGTCTTTCAGACACTTTTCAGTCAATGCTTGCCTGGCCCCCATCTGCTCCTTGCATCATGTTGCTGTGACGACCGTGGAAGGAATTGGAAGCACCAAGACCAGGCTGCATCCAGTGCAGGTAACCAGATAACAGTCTCTGCCATTGAGGTAAAGCAATTCTGCAGTGTCAAGTCAAGCTTGCAGATATGCTCAGTTTCTTGGCTGTCCCCTCGTTTGAGTGAAGAAAGCATGTGTTCTGGTGCTCTCCCATCTTCTCTGGGTGGTGTGAGGCTAAAAGGGAAGGTGTTCAAGGCTGAAATCGCCTCCTGTGGCTGGGGAAGATGGAACAAATGGGATGCCTAAGGGTGTAATGAGGTCAAGTGAAACTAGTCACCACGACACTCAGTCTGTAAGGAAGCAGAAGGGAGGAGGGACCTTCCTCACCTTGTGTCAGGTGCACACTCAGGAAGCCTCTGGCCTTCACAGATTTGAGATCCACATTTTCTCTGCACATTGCCCTGAAGAGCCTATCTCCCCTCAGCTCCCTGGAACACTAGCTTCAGTTGAACCTCTCACCTCCTGCCCAAAGTGGACTTCGAGGGAGTTACACTCATTAAAGAGGAGGTTAAATAAAAAACAAATCAAACCAAAACTAACCAAAAAGCCAAAGTCCCTGTGTGGGAGTCGATTCTAACTGATGGTGACCCCGTGTGTCATAGACTATTCTTGAGCTCCCAGAGTTTCCTCGGTTGTGCTTTAACAGAAGCAGGTTTTTAGGCCATTCTTACTCAGCACTGCTGGGGTTGGGGAAATGGCTGGACTGCTCAGTTTTAGGTCAGGAGATGAGCATAAGCTCTCCGTGCTACTTCTTATTGCTATGTTTCGTTGAGTTATCTGTAACCATAGTGACCCTATGCACAACAGCTCTGAACCCTGCCCTGTCCTGAACCAGTCTCACTAACCCTGAAACACCAACCACCATCATCCCAGTTACTGTATCAATCCATCTCATCTGGGGTCTCCCTCTCCTGTCCTGTCCCTCCACCCTTCTGAACATGATGTCTCTCTCCAAGGACCAGTCTCTCCCGGCCACATGTCCAAAGTATGTGAGACTTCAAAATCCTAGCCTCCAAGGAGAATTTTTATTTCATCCTCTCCAAGACAGATCCATTTGTTTTCTTGGCAGTTCATTGTATGTTCAAGACTCTTCTCCAGCACCATAACTCGAAGACATCTATTCTTCTGTCTTCCTTAGTTATTGTGCAGCTCTCTGAAGCATAACAAGTAATTGCAAAGAACATGACTTGGATTAGGCACATATTAGTCTCTAGACTGACATAATTTCTTTTCAGCATTTTGTAGAGGTCCCTGGCAGCATATTTTCCCAGTGCAATTTATCTTTTGACATCCTGACTGCTGATAGTAAAGAGTGTTGATTGTGGAGAGGAGCAAGCTGTAATTGCTAACAACCTCAATCTCTTCTCCATCTAATATGGTGCTGCCAATTGACCCAGTGGTGAGAATCTTCTTGATGATGAGCTTCAATCCATATTGCAGACTACAGTCCTTGACCTTCTACAGCAACCTAAATTACAAATTAGCAATATGGTAATAAAGACATATGAGCGTCTGAACAAGACTTCCTCTCTGCTAGTATGAAAGTCAACAGAATAGGGATTGAACAAACTGTGGTAATAGTCTGAGAGATTTTGTGAAGAGGATCAGGATACTCCTTGGCAAAGCAGAAATGAGAAAGGAGTAGAGGGAGTAGAAGTGGAGCACTGTGGGAAGGAGAGGTCACAGTGCTCAGTGCTTTCTGTTTGGGAGAACTGACGGAGGGACTATTTGTGCATTAAATTCACAGACGTTTCCAGAGCAAGGTTCAGGTTTGTACCCTCCCTTGGTCATTTGAGAAAACGTGGCATTCAGGAGATCATGTTTTCTTTGGCTGCTTATCTGGTGCTGTTATAACAGAAGTATCACAAGCGGATGACTTTAACAAATGTAAAATTATTCTCTCACAGTTTAGGGGCCTCTCATTGCCCTCAAATTAAAATCAATTCATAGCTGGCCTTCCACTGGGTTTTCTAAAGAGTGTGAATGGCATGGAAGGAGATTGTGCATCTTTCTCCAAAAGAACAGCTATTGGATTTGAACGGCCCGAGGTGTGGCTTTATGGGTAGCAGCACAACGCCCTGTGATTACTCCCTTTGAGGAGGTTACAAGTCCAAATTCAGAGTGCTCCTCTAGGGAGCCCTGGTGGCCTACCTCACAGAGGTTACGCTGCGAACTCAAAGGCCACACCTCTTGGCGGTTCAAATCCACCAATGGGTCATCGAAAGAAAGATTGACATTCTCCCATCTTTTGACTATAGCTTTCCAAAACCCCATAGGAGAGACATCTATGAATGAGTTCAGACTTAGTGGGAATAAGAGTGGATTGAACCCTGGGGAAAGGTTTCTCTCTCTCCCTTCCAACATCAGTGGGCCCAGTATTTCCTGCAGATCTCCACGTGTGTTGGCATCAGTCTTCCCCTGGGTTTAGGAGATTCTTAGTGCTAGAATCCAGGTGCCAAGTTCAGTGTGTTTCACTCCTGGGTCTTCTTTTATAGTGGTTATTGCTGTTGTGTATTGTGGAATTGAAAACAGCTCATAGCCGACCCTGTAGTGGGTTTTGGAATGCTGTAAACTGCATGGGAGGAGATAACCTGTCTTTCTACTGCAGAGCAGCTGGTGAATTGCTTTGTGTTGGCAGCACAACTCCCTCCCACTAAGCCCGAAATCTCCCTCTCTTAGTGGTGGTCAGTTTCTTTTTTGTTCTGCTTGCTTCCCTCTTCCTTTACCTCTTGCTGGATAAAAGGTGATGCAGGCCACACCCCAGAGAACTCTCCCTACACCAGATCAGGGCTAGGGCCTGAGTAAGAGTGTCATATCCCCTCTAATCCTGGCCCATTAACATTAAAACCACAACCTAGTATTTCTTAAAATAGCTTAATCCTACCCCTTTAGGCCCAAGCAGAGATTAGGATTTACAGCACATAGAGCCAGTAAATTAGACTACACAATGCAGCCACATAATGCCCAGAATCACAGCCTAGCCAAGTGAGCACAAACTTTGGTGTCACACAATTCAGTCTTTCTCCACCTGTCACCATGGTAAAACTATGTATCTAATTGCTCAGTAACAACATTGCAAAGTCTGCAAGTCTTCTCTTTCCCTCATTCACCACACCCAATTTGCAACAAGTCCAGGCATACCTCATTTTATTGTGTCTTGCTTTATTGTGCTTCATAGATAGTACAATTTTACAAATTGAGGATTTATGGCCACCTTGAATTAGGCAAGTCCGCCCGCACCATTTTCCCAGCAACATATGCTCACTTCATATCCCTGTGTTACTTTTTGATAATTCTTGCAATGTTTCCAAAATACTATTATTGCACACTTAAAGGATTACTACTTAGTATAAACATGGATTTAAAATACACTGAAAAATAGAAAAAAGTTGTGTGAGTCATTTCATTGTGATATTTGCTTTATCATCAATGTACATCTGTATTGTCTACCATACTAACAAGACTTTAATGAAACCATCACTTTTTCCTAGTGTCCACTAGCACTGCTTGATCCAAGCCACCGTCCCCTCCTGCCTGGACCATGATAGTGTCCTGGGGCTTCTCATTCCACTCTTGCTCACTGTAACTTATTCTCTACCCAGCAAGCTGAGTGACTGATCACCTCTGTCCCTTGCAGGAGAGAATTGCCAAAAGCCATGGCTCCCAGTGTGGGTTCTGCACCCCTGGTATCGTCATGAGCATGTATACACTGCTCCGGAACCAGCCCGAGCCTACCATGGAGGAGATTGAGGATGCCTTCCAAGGTACGGGCCTGCTAGCTCAGCCGAGAGATGGGCTGTGAATGGAGCGATGGAGGCTCAGGGGGAATGTCCAGAACTGACTGGAAGTGCAACACACTAGTCTCTGGAGGAGAGGGATGGGTCCCTCCAAGATAGCAGCTGAGATCAGCTCGAGGTTTAAGGCTCTTTCATTTAGGAAGTTCTCAGAGAATTCTTGGATCTCCTGCCTCTGTGCTCATCCTCCTGAGTTGTTGTCCTGTTTCCCACAGCACTGGGATGGGTTAGCAAATAGCAACTGGTTCAAGGGAAAATTTCTACAGAAGCTACTGATAGGAATTGATTTCCTTGCAGGTTTTACTAGAGCAAGATTCTGCAAGGCAAAAACAACATAGAAGGCAGAGGGGTATGATTCTCAGTCATAGGAAGTAAATGGCACCCCATTTTAGTTTCTGGGAGTGGGGGCAGGAGCTAAGACCATAAGTCTGATGCTCTGAATTGAATACAGAATGTTTCTCATTCATGCACCATTTAATATATCACTTACTCAATCTATTTTATTAACTCCTACCTTCTATGAAAAAAAAAATCTGTGTTGGAGGAAGTAAAATCAGGGTGCTGTATGGAGGCAAAGATGATTTGACATCATCTCACATACTTTGGGCATGTTGTCAGGAGACAGTCCTCATAAAAAGACCTCATTGAGGAAATGTAGAATGTTAGCAAAAAAGAAGAAAACCCTTAGATTTACCCAGTGATTTCAACAATTGACTCGATCAAAGTAGAGATTGTGAGAAAGGCGCTGGATAAAGCCAGGTTTCATCTTTTGTCCATAAGCTTGCTATGAGCTGTAGTTGGCTCGATGACGCCTATCAACAACACAACTCGCTATGAGGCTCAAGAGACACAGAATAAAAAGCATATGTGTTCTTCTCAAATAGTTCATAATCAGGCAGTTGAGTTTATAATATGGTTTCACAAGCTCAGTGGAAACACGAAGACCAGGCACTGTAGCCACACTTAGACTGGGCACCTGGCTCGGTCTGTGCATTTTGGGAAGGCTTCCTGGAGGAACAAACACTGATGTGCTGACGTCAGGAAGCAGCGGCCCCCTCCCGGCAGAGGAAACAATAAGCCTAGGCAGCATGGTGATAAAAAAGGAAAGAGCACCAAGCACAGATGTGAGAAAAGTCACAGATCCTCAACCTGCTTTGTGGGGTAGCGTGGACTTTTTGTTTTTTTTTGTTTGACCCATATTGTGTTTTGTTTGTTTGTTTGTTTGTTTGACCCACAGGCAATCTATGCCGGTGCACAGGCTACCGACCCATCCTGCAGGGTTTCCGGACCTTTGCCAGGGTAAGTGGGGGCCCCAAAACAGCAGTGATCCTGCCGGCAAAGCAACAGCCTCCAGGCCTCCAACTGGAAAAGAGGCTATGCTCTTCTGGAAAGAGGAAAAAAGATAAGATGACCGATTAATAGGTCTTCATGCTGGATATACTGGGAATTAAGAATGGCCTCTGCCATCTGTATTGAGGGAGGGGTTTTTATTGACAGCTTGGGGCATCCTTGCCAAGAAAATCATGCAGAACTGGTTCTTGGAAGAGACACACTGCACAATAGTTAACTTTCTCTAATGCCTCTGTGCTTGGCACCTTTCTCTTGGCACCTGGCATGCTTGGTCTGTAACACAGGTGTTGACAGTGACATTTTATAACACCACGCCTGGCACAGGGCTTGCACCCACTTCTCTCCTTCCCTCTCCAGCTGGTCTATCTGAAATTGGCACGCTGCTGGGTTTAAGTAATCAACACGTGTGAACTTGTACACTCTTTACACAGCTCACTGTAAGAAATAACAGCCAGGGATTGCAGGTCTTGTGATAAAATAAACTCAGACATGCACGTGCTGCCTGGCCAAGCAGAGGGCTGGCTTTCTTTCCTTGTCATAATATCCCTGGTAGTCTAGTGGTAAAGAGCAGTGTTGTCAACCCAAAGACTCACTGTTCGAGTCTGCCATCTGCTCTATGGGAGAAAGATGGGCAATCAACTCTCAAGTGATTTACTGTCTCTGAAAACCCACTGGAGGGCCAGCTATGAGACAGTTCTGATTCAACGGTACACAACAACAACCCCCCCGCCCTCCCCCCCCCGATCAAGTTGATCCTGATTCTCATCAAATGATCTCACCTCACCTTGGTCTGGGCAGAGGGCAGCATCACAACCTTATACTCTTTACCCTTTTATCAACCCTTGGTGGGGGAGCCACACAAGAAGGGCCCAACACTGGGCTTCTGTAAAAATCACAGCCACGAAGCACGAAGCCCTACAGAACAGTATACTCTGGACCACGTGGCGTTTCTGGGAGTCAGAATTGACCTGGCAGCAGTGGATTAGGGCTTGTTGTGGTTTGTTTAAGGTCAGCACTTTGTGGATTTCAGTGTTGTGTCTTATCTGATCCAAGAAACATAAAAAGTGTCCTGAGGGAAGGCTCCAGATAATTAAAAACAAACAGTTGTGGTTTTCAAGGGAGGGGGAGATGACCAAAGGAGCACTGGTGGCCTAGTGGGTAAAACGTTCCACAGCCAATTCAAAGGCAAGGGTTTGAATCCATCAGCTGCTCTGAGGGAGAAAGATAGTCTGAGCGATTTACAGCAGGAGAGTCAGCTGTTAGTAGGTTCTGACTTGAGGGCATATAACAACAGAAAGGAATGACAGCAGAGTTGGAGTCTGAAGACCAGGTTCAAGTCTCAGGCCATCAGTCAACAGATAAGTGGCCTTGGATCAGATTCCCTGTTTTTAAAATGTGGACTATACCAGCCTTACAGCATGAGACAGAAATACTTCTCAGAACACATTTGATGCATGCAGAAAGTAGCACCTATAACTAGTAATGCTGATGTACTTCTTGCATTAGTTACTGTTTGATTTTTACAAGCTGAGTGACCTTAGGTAGCTCTGGTGGCCTAGTGGCAAGAAACTGCACTGCAATCCTAGAGGTATGCAGTTCGAATCCACTAGATCCTCTGCTGGAGAACAAGGGACAATTTCCTCCTGTACTAGTGGATCTGATTTGACGGGGCGTGCGCGCGCGCGCATGCGCACACACACACACACACACACACACACACACACACACACTCACACACAAGCTGACTTGCCTTCCTGGTAGTTTGCTCTTTCCCAGAACTGGTTTTATTATCACTGAAGAGGTTTTGACCCCGTCCCTGCTGCAAGGCAGCTCCTCTGTTCTTGCGCTGCCCGGGACTTGAGAGCTCTGAGCAGCCCAGCACCTGCGCACAGTGTGCAGAGAAGTTCGAGGCTCCAGGGTCCGTATTCAGATTTACTTTGTTCTTAGATGCAAAATGAACTTTCTTGGCTGTCCTGTTTTCCTATCCACAGGTCACACTAGGGGAAAAAAATGTGTGGTGTGTCTGCCGAGGCTGGTATACTGCCCGTGCCAGAAATGATAATGTCCACCAGTCAGGCAGCAAGGAAGGAAAGACAGAAGCCCCCAGAAGAGGCACTCACTCACTCACTCACTCACTCACTCACTCACTCACTCACTCGCTCAGTGTGGACTAATCGAAGCCTACGCACAGCTGATGGTGTTTGCAGACTGTAACTCACGTAGGAGGAAATTGCCATCTTCCTCCTCCAGAGTTGCAAGCAATTCTAACCACCAACGAGGGCTGCCTTTGGGTTAGTAATGCAACTTCCCTTGGACCATGCAACTTTTGTTGTTGTCAAGTACCACTGAGTCGCCTGTGACTCATAGCGACTCTGTGTACAACAGCTCTGAACGCTGCACTATCGTGAGCCAACCTTATTGTCTCCAATACACCTGCCCCTATTACCCGAGTCACTGAGTCAATTCCAACTATCCAGGATCTTCCTCTCTTACGCTGTCCCTCCACCTTCCCAAGTATGGCATCCCTTTCCAAGGACCGGCCCCTGCTTGCACTGTAACCAGTGTATGTCAGATGAAGCTTCAGAATCTTCGTCTCCAAAGAAAAGCCCGTTTTACCCTCTCCAAGACTAACCTATTTATTCTCCTAGCAATCCATGGTATATTCAGTACTCTTCTCCAGCACCACAACTCAAAGGCATCAATTCTCCTTCTATAATCCTTAGTAATTGTCTGGCTTTTTGATACATAACATATGATTGCAAAGACCATGGACTGTATCAGGTGCACCTTGGTCTCCAGACTGGCATCATTGCTCTTCAGTAGAACTTCCTGTTGTGGGGGGTGGGGGAAATAAGGGTATCCAGCCTGAGTAAACTTTGAGACCAGTGAAATATTGCTGATCACCACAATAATTTATTCCAGGCACCTTGCTGATGAATTATCAGGAAAAAAGATCAAGGCAAAAGATGCACTAGCACTGTAATTATCTGGAAAGTATACTTGTGTGAGTTCTCTCTCCTGCTTCTCTCGGGTTGTATGAGAAGACTGGCACCTCAGTGGATGCAGGTGCGGTCCCTCAATTGTCTTCTCTGAGGGCCTGGGAATTCCTCACATCATTCCTGCTTCAAAAGAGATTATTTCCACACTGTTGATAAGAGTCACTTTTCTCAAGGGAAACTCCCTTCTCTCTAAACACACCATGGGAGGGTGAGGTGACTGTGAGGGATGGACTGAAACAGAGCACTCTGGGTATCCAGTGGAGAAGCTGTGAGGGTCTGCTTGCAGGCAGCATGAGATAAAAATATCAAGACAAGTGGGGTACTTTCTTGATGCCATCATCTGACCGAACTTGAGCCGAGAGGGTTTTCTTTTCTTGGGAAAGTAAGTGACTTGTGACTTATCTGCCGGAAATGCCAGAGCTGGACGGGATCTCCCTGGCACATAGGCCAGAAGAACTTCTCCTACCTGCTCCTCCAGGTTCTCCAACCCTGGAAATGCACCAGGACTGAGCTTTGGAATCCCTCCACATTTGCTCCGCAACACAATTCCATTCTGAACATGACTCCTGCCTTCTGGGGGGCATCAGGCCCCTTCCTGCCCTGAAATGCCCTGGTCCTGGGAGGCTGCAACCCCAGACCATTTTCTGTTCTTTGCTGTTGGCATTCCGAAAGGCCCTGAGGAAATGTTCTTGTGTAGGTGATAGGTAATCACACCTATTCCCAGAAATAGCCCAAGGTGATGAGTGAAGGATCTTTTGCTTTCTGAGAAGAAACCCTCAAAACATAATGATGAGGCATGCTGACTGGACACAGCTCTGGGTCCAGCACTGGTCTTGAAACAACCTTGTCAGGTGCCGCACAGAGAATCCAGCCAGGGGGTGGCCAGGCAAGGGGCTAGAACCTAGCAGTCCTAGAAATAGAGGATCTTGTCAGTTAACAGAGCTGATGGGAATTTCACGGAAAATCCCTAAGGAAATGTGTATTATTGAAGAAGGAAAGTGGGTGTAACCACATGTTTCATAAAAATATATAATCTACTTTTCATAGAGAAATTTCTGGAAATTAAAATTTCCTGTTGCTTCTAGAGGGAAATCCTATGAGTTTATCCTCAATATGTTTAACTTGTATTACTCCATTTAATCGAAGTCTTAACTCTACACAGGGAGGCTAAGTGGGCTGGGTGCAGAGCTCTCTGCTCCTGTTACTGATGCCATGGTATGTGCCAGAGCTGGATTTCTCTCGGTATGAATAATCAACATAGAGAGAGCTATGTTGTCCTAGTGGACAGAGAGTTATGCTACCAAGCCCAAGGTGGGTGATTTTAATTGGCGGCCCTCAGGCCTGGTTCAAATTGTTTTCCTTTCAAACATTCTTCTAGGTGGTAAAGCATTGGTCTGTGCATTGCTGTACAGAGGTAACTTGTGGTTGCTGTGATTTTGAACACTGTTATACTGATGTGCCAAATGTGATAATGGTTACTGATGGTGGACAGTGTTTGGTGGAGCTTCCTTATTAAAACAAGTTTGGAAGCAGGAGTGGCATCCAATTCTGAGATGGCTTGCCTCCAGAAACTCTATGAACAGTGCTCAGGTCTTTTGTTCATAGGGTCGCTGTGAGCCGTCCACAACTCTACAGCACCTAACAACATGAGTAATCTCAGCTCTTAGAACTTCAAATATCAAGTCAGTCTGCAAACACCTTTGTGTGAGTGTTGATGATCTTTCTAGGATGGTGGTTGCTGTGGAGGAAATGAGACCAACCCAAACTGTTGCATGAACCAGAAGACAAACATGGCAGTAAGTGGGTCCTTCTTTCCCTGGTGACGTGGGGGACAAATTTAGACTCAGCACAGTCAGCGAACTCTCTCCAGTCCTGGAAGTGGCGGCTGGATTGGAAAACACAGAGTAGTTGGTTTTGCTGAGAATATTGAGGGTGGTACATTGACCCCGGGTCCTCTGGCAAGAGCTCCCTACTCCTGCTTCCCTGGAGCTGGCTGCCCTTTGGACAGCCTGCTGGAGGTTGAGAATAAGAGATCTAATTAATTTCAAGGGGCATTTAAAAAGAGAAAATTTTGTAACACCTTTCTTTTTCCGAGAAGGTCACTCTCTCGCCATCTTTATTCAAACCGGAGGATTTCATGCCCCTGGATCCCAGCCAGGAGCCCATCTTCCCCCCAGAGTTGCTTGTAAGTGATGCCTCAGAGAGAGGTCCAGTCATTCTTATCCAGAAGCTCCTACAAACTTGCATTATCCTCACATGCACCAGGAACTTGCTGGTCTTTTTCAGCGTAGATCGTGCATCCTTTTTCTGACACCCCTGTTACATACACATAAAGCGCCCTATATGTCTCTATGCTTCAAACATGAAATTACTAATTTGACATCTCTATTCTTTGCCAAATTATAAACATCATGTTGACAGGAACTGGCTAAGCTTAGTGTGTAACCCTCTAAGCAACCTTTTTATTTATAAAGAAAAACTATGCTTAATGGACACAATTCCATAACTTACAGCTTTGTTTTTAGGATTCATCTGGAATCAGTAGGGTCCTTTGATGGTTTAGGGGTAAGGAGTTGTGATGCCACCTGAAGGCATGCCGTTTAAATCCACTGGATATTCAGTGGGAGAATGATGGGCAGTCTTCTCCTGTGAGGTTTACTGCCTCTGAAAACCCGCCCACTGGAGGGTGAGCTCTGAGTCAGTTCTGACATGACGGCACACAGCAACAGTAGCTAGAATCTGTTTCCTCACCTTGATGATTCCACTCTTACCCCAACCTTATGACAAGGAAGCATATCCTGAAGCCATTTTCAGGGAGTTTCCAACTGTAGATTTCTCAAGAGTGTGCAGAAAATGATGACTTCCTTGTGAGCTCACAGGATTGGAAAGAATGACTTTGAAGACATAACCAGTAAAACTTTATCTGAACTGTAAAACCTGGGAAAAAAATTTAGGGCTCCACATCATGTCCACACACAGGAATCAGGCCTTCTTTGAGTTCCACAATGACTAGCCTCTTCACTCTTCAAGTTCCTCTTCATTCTTCAGGTACCTCTTCTGGGCAATGCCTTCTTCACCCATGTCTTCTAAAAACTAAGTGGTGTGATATATAGACATAGATATAGAAGATATAGATACAGATACAGCTATAGGTATAGGTAGATGTTTTTGTTGATTGCCTTGGATTCTAGCATGACTCATAGTGAATCCTATAAACAAAAGGCCCGAAGCCCCTTTATAACTATCAACATTTATCAAGGTTCATAGAGTTTCCAGAGGCATGTTGTTTAGGAAGTGGAGATCTATCTATCTATCTATCTATCTATCTATCTATCTATCTATCTATCTATCTATCTATCTATCATCTATCTATATCTATCTCCCTCAAATAATCCCTGCCTCAGTAATGTATATGAAACTTCCACATAGTTTCTGCCTCAATGCATATTATTTGTTCCTGTACTCCTCACAAGCTGTATGTTTTAATTTATTATTTGACATTAAATAGATGAGTGGAGGGGGAGCTCTGGTTGCCTAGTGGCAAGAACCTGTGCTGCAATCCTCAAAAGATGAGTGGAAGAGTTGACCCCATTTTGAACCTAAGGTGATCTACCAGGAGAAGTGAGAGTGGGAAGAATAAGATAGTATAATAAGAAATTTCTTTTCCAGAGACTGAAAGATGCCCCTCAGAAGCAGCTGTGTTTTGAAGGGGAGCGTGTGAAATGGATCCAGGCCTCAACCCTGAAGGAGCTGTTGGACCTCAAAGCTCAACACCCAGATGCCAAGCTGGTGGTGGGGAACACGGAGATCGGTGAGGGCCTAGGACCAGCCCCGGGTTGGAAGCTGGGGAGTGGTGCTGGGGCCTTCTGCACTGAAGAGGCCTCGGGGCCTGAATGCCTGTGAAGACCTCTTGCTCTAGAGTCACGAGGACATACATGGCTCAACCCTTTGTTGGTTGTGTCTCCTCAGAAAATCTCCTTCCTCTTAATCTTACCATTATTATATGGAAATAGATGACCATGGGTTGTAGAAATTATTAAATCTACCCAGACATTGCTCAGAGGATCAGCCTGATGATTTACCTCTGAACACCCAGCAGTTGAGAACCCTGTGGTTGTTTCCATGGTTCTGCATCTTGCTCCACATGTTCCCCCACTCCATTAGGACCCTCCTGCTGGCTCCTTGCACAGTGGTCAGCAGTGGTAGCTGGGCACCTTGTGTTTCTTCTGATTTTGGAATCTTGGAATTCAAACTTCACATGGTCCATCAGTCCTTTGAGCCAATAGGCTTTATTTTTTTTTTTTCTTTTTCAAATTCTTCTTTACTCTGGATGAGGAGAAAACAATAGTTGCACCCTAGATGGTTGCACAAAAGCTTTTAAGACTCTAGTTGCTATTCACAAGAGTAGGATGTGGAACATTGTCTTTGTGGACTGTATTATACCAATAGACCTTGATGTACCCAGGACTAGGGTGATCTTTTAACATATGGTATGTTTCTTGTCATGAATCACTCAATGTCAGATTCCATGAGAAAGGATTCCATAGAAACTTAGTAAGTTCCACAAGCAGAAATAAGTGATAAGGCCTCTTGTTCTACATGGTCTTCCTTTATATGCATGATGCAGTAGTGTAACTAACCACTTACAGTTATGGCAGGGAGTGGAGGAAACTGAGGCTAGAGAGAAACCTATCACTGTTTTTGTTGTTGTTGCTGTGGGTACCATCAAGTCAAAGCTGACCTATAGCTGACCCTCCAGTGGGTTGTCAGAGGCAGTTAATATCATGGAAGAAGAGTGCCTGCCTTCCTCCTGAAGAGCAGCTGGGGGATTTGAACTGCATGCCTTTGGGATTGCAGGCCAGCTTCTTACCACTTGGACACCAGAGCTCCCTAGAACCTTATCAGTAGGGGCAACCTCAAGTTTCATTTCCTCCCCGCCTGAAAGCTTATATTCAAACAGGCCAGCCTCAACAAAGCTGGGCCCACTCTGGAGAATTCTTAGCACACTGGGGACGGGGTTTGTGCGTGAGGAAAGAATTGCGTATGGCATCAGGGTTTGGACATGGAGACAGGGTTTGCTCTTCCTTAAGAATATTTTTCCTTTCCAGCCCTGCTGACAGTCTGGGACAGATACTGTGCTGACAAGGTCTAAGGAACAGGGACAGTTTGCTTCACAGAAGTTTCTTACTTGATTACCTCAAAAGGGCAAAGTGAGAACTAGGTGTGAGGCCACATGAAACCGTGGTGCATGGAAGAATACAGATATTGAGAATCAGAAGGCAGATTTAAAACAGTATTTCAGTCTATTTTCTCTTTGTTTTATCATTATTTTTTAATGGCATAATTACTTATTTTTATTTGAATGAAGATCAGTCCTACTTAGTCCAAGGGACAGCAAGGTCTACTGCTATAATATAGTTCACAATTGTATTGGTTTTCCATACAGTCGTTTTCAGACATTTTGCTTTATGGTGGTGTTAAATGTCATTATAATTAATGTCATTAATTAATTACAATGTCTAATTATTCCATTACTGTGTATTACCTTTCCTTTTACTCAACTTCTCTATTTATTAATTTTTACTCCTCTATTAGTTTTTATATTATTATTTTCCAAGACTAATAACACCTAAAGTGGTAAAATTTGCCCTCTGTCAGCTGTGCAAACCTAGGAAAGAAACTTAACTTCTATATGCTCAGTATTTTTCATCTGTGAGCAAGGATAATCATATTATTATTGTTATGTGCTGGTGAGGTGGAACCAACTCATAGCTTTCCCTCCAGCAGGTTTTTAGAACCTGTAAATCCTATAGGGAGAGACTGCCTGTCTATCTCCCATGGAGCAGCTAGTGGATTCTAATCATATTCCTTCTGCTTGGTTGACAACACAACTCCTTACCACCTGACAAACAGAAGGCCTGTGAGGATTAGTTAAAACATGAAAAGTACTTAGGACACTTCCTGAGATCCATATGTTAATGCCCTGTTTTCTAATATTGTTATCATTTAAGCCACTTACATAGTAGAGTGAATTTGAATTAATTCAAGTTGAGTTCCTATGAGTTTTCTTGATCAGTGTCTCTAATTTTAGGAGCTCTATTTGCATAGTCAATAGGAAATCGTACTGCTATCTCGAAGTTGGAACCTCTCTGGCAGTTTTAATACAATAGCAGTTCTGTGAGAGAAAGATGGACAGTGTAAAAGGAGAAACAGCCACATGGGGAAGACTTGTATAGTAGCACCGGCATCCTCTCCCACTCCTTCTTGGCCAGATACCCCTGTAAAACAGAGGAATCTGTCCACTCATGAACTCCCTTTGGCCACCTCATGCTGAGTGTAAGCACACCCTCTTGAAGGTGTGTGAGCCAACCTTCATGCCTTTATTCCCTCCCCCACTCCCCATTTTGGGTAACAACAATTTTAACTACCCATTTCAATCCTCTATCAGACCATTACTCTGAGTGTGGTAGGCAACATGGTATGTCCATTTAATATGTTGCATTTTGACCCATTGTTGCATTCTGTGAGCTGCCAAATTTGTTTCCTTGGTCTGAGGAAATATTATTTTTAGGCCTAAACTGCTGTAGTATCTTTTGTTTCAATCCTTTAATAGTATTTTGGCATTTGCCTCAATTACAGGATGCATGAGGTCTAATCCAGAGTGAATATCTATTCTTCTAAGAACCTGGTGTGACTGGTGCTAACGGCCCAATATAATCAACTTGCCAATTGTGCATAGGCCCTTGTTCCTGGGAATCTGTACCACAGAGTTCAGGAAGAACTGGAGAAGTGGTATTTTGTTAGAATGATGGACTGGTTTGATAAATTAAACATTGGGGACATTTTACTCACATATTTTAATGACTAGTGTGATGCTGTTATTATTGGAATGAATCATGATTAGTTTCCTCACAAGTGACATGCAGCCTCAGAAGCCCAATGGAGGGTCAGCTACAGGCTGGTTCTGACTTGATGGCAATGAGCATTTGAGTGTTTGCATAATCCTGGGACAAACATGGAACACATTATATTTGTCAATATATCACACAATCTGTGTGTAATGATTGGGGGGAAATATCAGGGTCTGTCCTATGCATACAACAATCAGGCTTTTCATTTCTCTTAAGGCATTGAAATGAAGTTTAAAAATAAGCTGTTTCCTCTGATCATCTGCCCAGCCTGGATTCCTGAGTTGAATTCAGTGGAGCATGGACCAGAAGGTAAGAAGGTTTCAGTTGAGCCCACAGAAGGGCTGACCCTGAGAATTGGCTACCTGAAGGGATGGTAGTTCATTTAACCTTTCCTTTCACTCTGGCCTAGAGCCTGCCTTGCACAGAGAGTTGGGGCACAGGGCAAGGGTGGCTGTCTTTCCCCAGTGAACATCCATGTTGGTGCCACTAGGTGAGAGGCTGAGATTTACAACAGTTCTTCTTAATGTTGGCTACACATTAGTATCACTCATTGAGGAAAAGGGTACTTGGGTGTTTTTAAACATGTCAGAACTTCATCCCCTGACTTCTTTATTTTATTGAGTTGTTAATCACTGTGTAGAGAAAAAAAATAATTCTGATGATAGGACCAAGAGGCTTGGAGTTGATCTCTGTCTCTTCCAATAGTTATGGGACACTTGGCTAGTCATTTAACTTCTCTGGGTCCTAATTTCATCACCTATACATTCTTCATCTATAGAAGGGTGTGAGTTCTGGTTCTGTCTTACTGGGATTGCTGTAAAAGTTCATAGTAACTGCACATGAAAGCATTTTCTGAGTTGTAATGGCAATAATTCTAAACATATGCATGCATGCTTAGGTATCTCCTTTGGAGCTGCTTGCCCTCTGAGCTCCGTTGAAAAGACCCTAGTGGATGCAGTTGCTAACCTGCCTGTCTACAAGACAGAGGTGTTCCGTGCCGTCCTGGAGCAGCTGCGCTGGTTTGCCGGGAAGCAGGTCAAGTCTGTGGCGGTGAGTCCCTGTTGCTGTTGTTATTGTTGTTTGGTGCCATCGAGTCAACTACGACTCATAACAACCCTAAGAACAACAGATCTGAATCTTGTCCTATCCTGTGCCATCCCCACCGTCTCTGACACAATTGAACCCATTGTTTAAGTCACTGTGTCAATCTATCTTTTTCAGGGTCTTCCTCTCTTTCATCGACCCTCCAACCTTTCAAGTATGATATCCATTTCTAAAGAATAGCCTCTCCTAGTAACATGTCCAAAGTTTGTGAGATGAAGCTTTGCCATCCTTGACTTGAAGGAACACTCTGGATATATCTTTTCCAAGACGTATTTGTTTGTTCTTTTGGCAATCCATTATATTCAGTACTCTTCTTCAACACCATAACTCAAAGGCATCAATACCTCAGTCATCCTTATTCATTGTCCAGCTCTCAAATGCATAGCAAGTAATGACCATGGCCTGAATCAGGAGTCCCTGCTAGGGGTCTGCAAGATCCAAGGTGGAGCCTCCCATAAAAAGGGCATCATCTAGCTTCTGCTGCACACTCCTGCTTGCTTCTGCCCAGATGCTTTAATCTTCAGAATTCATGGAATTTTCTGGGGTGCTCATTCAAATGCAAATTTCTGTGCCCCCGAGAAGCTGAGTCTGAGGTAGAACTCAGGAACTAGATTTTTAACAAGCGCCTCAGATGAGTCTGATGAAGGTGGTCCATGGGTCACTCCAACAAATACTCCTGATTCAGTCTTTGCCCTCAAGTTGGACAGATGTTGAGTCCTGCCTTTTTCCACTTGAACCTGGCTAAGACTGTCAGAGGATGAATGAGTAGCTAGTGTAGGGTGAAGTTGCAATAAGGAAGGAGACTGTCCATTTAGAATTGGGGGACTAACAGTAAAGCACTACGAAGGGAGAAGGATCTATTTTCTTACTTTATCATCAGGCTTTAGACCAGCTCCAAATGTCTCCATTTAAATTTGGCTTCCACACTCACGGTGCCTTTTGAGGTTCACATAAACTTATATTCAAGAAAAGTTGAGTTATTCCTTTCATTCTTGTAGTTAGGTGCCATCAAGTCTCCTTATACTGTTTTCTTAATTATTGGGAGTAAAATGCACTCTTATCCACTCCTCCAACTCTCCACAATTCTGATTATAAATAAGGAAGCAAAACTCATAAAAGCATACTAAAAAAAAAAAAGTATACTGAGTTCTCCAGTTCGATTAGAATCTTTTTCCAGGAAAGATTTCATTTCCATTGAAACTGGTTTTCTTCCTGCTTTTTTGATAAAGAGACTTCTATACTTGATTCTTCTTACAGTTGTATTAGTTTTTTTTTTTTTTTTTGGCCAAATTTCTAGGAAGTTTTAGTCCAAATAGAGCAAATTGTTCATCCATAAGACTTCTTCCTCTTTTCCTTGATCTTTATCTTTTATTGCAATTTTAGTAACCCTAGATGACCTCTGTGATAAACCACCTCAACTTCTTCAGAAAAAAGTTAGGTGAATTTTAATACTTTTTTTAAAAAATAAGAAAATACTGTTAACTGTATTTGCCTCGTTTTACTAACTAAATGGTAAAAGCTGGAGGTAGGACTTAATCAAAAGGGTTCTGGTAATAGTGGCACATGCTCTGGGTATTCAAGTGCTTTTGATACCAGCCTTGTTTCTCCAGGGGTGATGGTCCTTGGGGCTCTTCCTTCAGCCAGGTGCCACCTGTGTCCAGGGCAGTATGTGAACAGGAGTCTCCTGGGGTGGGCTCTCACCTTACCCTCTGTGCTTGTCCTAGTCCATTGGAGGAAACATCATCAACGCCAGCCCCATCTCCGACCTCAATCCTGTGCTCATGGCCAGTGGGGCCAAACTGACCCTCGTGTCCCGAGGTGAGTTATGTGATGCAGAAATCAGGAAGGAGGGACTTGAGAGAGGAATATCTCACACAATAGGTCCGTTTCTGGAGACCCAGGACCCAAAGTCCAAGCTATTTAGTTCTCCTGAGTTTTGGATGGAGGAGAGCTGCAAGTGGGGTGCAATTGATTGGGCTGGGGGCCAGGTAAGCTGGGCCATTTCTGTGTCAAATACTCATACTCATTTCTACCACCTCAGCGCCTTATTTAGTGGTGTGCTGAGGCTGACTTGTCCTGGCTCTAGGGAACTTGTTATAAGAGTCTCTGGATTTCTGTTGAGCTTCATGATAGCCATAGTTACGTCTAGTAACTTATAGGAGAACTCACTAGACCTGATAGATAGTCATGCTCAGGGCTGTGGCTCATTACAGAGAAAGGACACAGAGCAGAATCAGCACAGGGACAAAGTGCAGGAAACCAGGCACAAACATCTAAGTCCTCACACTGGGAGCCACTCAGGATGCACTCAATTCCCCCAGGAACCAGTCATGCCAACATTCATGAAATTCTTCTGTCAGGAAAACTCATTAAAGACCCAGTGCTTGGGGCTTTTATTGGCCTGGTCATGCACATAGACACCCTTCGCCTGCATGTACCTAAATTTCAGACTCCCAGAAGGAAAGCAGGTGTCTGACATAAATAATATTGTCTCCAACAATAGTTCCGGAACAGTTACTCTCTTCTCCTTGTTTTGGGAATGGTGGGAACCTTCTCAAAGAGAAACCTCTTAGATGTCAACGAGGGGCAAGCTCATAAGCAGGCCTGTCTATGCTACTTTGTTTCTGCACCCTTCCCAGTTTCACATTCAATAGTATTCCTCTGGGAGCTTGAAATTTGCTATGGTGGGAGAATTTAGATCGTTTACCCATCCACTGTCCTTGAGTCAGTTCTGACTCATAACGATACTACAGGACAAAGTAGAACTGGCTCACCAGGTTTCCAGTGGTATAAATCTTCGCAGATGAAGGCTGACTCATTTTTCTCCTTTGGAGCAGATGGTGGATTCAAACTGTTGACCTTTTGATTAGCAGACCACTGCTTAGTACATTGCACCACGAGGGCCCTTGTTTACACAATGGGAACCAGCAGATGCCAGAAGCCATGGCTTTTACTTTCAAAGAAGCAACTGTTAAATATTTACTGGACTTGTTAAATGCTTACTGGACTTGTTAATAGGGTTTTCCAAGGCCTGTTATTTCAGAAGTGGATGGTCAATTCTTCTTAGTCTTTAATCTGGAAGCTCTGCTGAGACCTGCCCACCATGGGTGACCTAATTGACATTAAAATACCAGTGACACAGCCTCCAGAAACACAGCAGCAAGCAAGCTGCCTTAGTACAGGAAACTGACAGACAAATACTGTACTCAGAAAAGCAAACTATGAACAAGCAAGCATGAGAATGATAAGGAAGTGGTGCAGGAAAGGACAGAGTTTAGATCTTTTGTTCATAGAGTTGCTATGAGTTGTACTTACCATCAACAGCTGGACTTGGAGGGAGCTCTAATGGCCTAGTGGGTAGGGGGTTGCATTGCTAACACAAAGCTCAAAGTTTGAATCCACCAGCAGCTCCATGGGAGAAAGACGGACAATGTCCTCCCATGTGATGTACAGCTTGTGAGAATCCACTGGAGGTCATTACGAGTTGGTTCTGACTCAACTGCAGTGAATTGTTTTGTTGTTGGCTGGACGTGGCCAGTTTTGTTATAGCAGTTGTTCTCTTAGACTGTGGCCTTCAGTCACCAATGTGAGGAATTCCACGTGTGGAATAGCCTCTTCAATTGTCCTCTCTCTATACAGGCACCAAGAGGACTGTCCGGGTGGACCAAACCTTCTTCCCTGCCTACAGAAAGACTCTCCTGAGTCAGGAAGAGATACTGCTTTCCATAGAGATCCCTTTCAGCAGAGAGGTGAGATGCCGCCAGGAACTGGCCAAATCTGCTTCTGTTTCTACCAGACTCCAGAGCTGGCCTCAAGGACCAGCTGCAAGATCCTCAGATTTTGCCTCTGGACAGTTGCACAGCAGAGGGCAAAGCACCTGGGCTAAGAGAGGGCACTATTACCTTCTGAACAAGTCACTTCACCTTACTGGGCCCTTACTTCCCCATCGGTAAAACGTGAACAATGTCATCTACCACACAGAGCCTGAGAAGTCTGAAAGCAAATAGTTCCTAGAGTTCCTGGTACATGCATTGAAGTCAGTGGAGGTTACCAGCTGGTAGTAAACACCGTAATTCCAAGAATCACTCAGCTACCTGACCCCCTGCCTTATGCTGGAGGAGTGTGTTTTCCTACAGTACAGAGCTCCGGGATGGGGAGCTGAGTAAGTCAGAGCCTCCCTTGCTGCCCTTGGGCTGACGTTTACTCACTGGCCTTGCTCTGGGCTGACTAATGGGCTTCTGTGTCATGAGCAGGTTTTCTGGCCTGTTAGGGCAGGTCTGGTCTTTGCTCTTATTCCCATGCTTGTGGTGAATCGGCCTGGTATGATTCTTCTTTCAACACCTTGAAAGATTATGTTACCTGCTTTACTTTTTAGAAATATGATGTGCGAAAGGCTGGCAGCTCAGCCATAAAGGAGTAGACTGGAAGGTTCCTGCATTTACCACAGCAGGTGTGTCAGCCGGAGCCCGGGTGGCATACATCATGCATTACGAGTTAGGGAGTTAACTAAAAGGTCATTAATGCAAATCCACCAGCTGTGCTGCAGGAGGTAGGTGGACAGTCGCTTGCTGTAAAGATTGTCTCAGAAACACAGTAGAGGGTCACATGGAGTCAGAACCAACTACAAGACAGTGAGTTGTTCCCGAGTTAGCAAGTATTACCAGTCATGATTTGCCCTTTCTCATTTTGACCTCCTTAATGAGAATGCTAATTAAATCACAGCAATTACACCCCTGAGGTGGTTTCTCAATGATTTTCTAGCTTGGCTTCTTAGATCATTTTGAGCAGTGGTTCTTGGGAGTCTTAGATTCCATAAATTGGTTTTTTAAAAAGAACAACAAAACAAACCCATTACGAGGTGGCAGCAAGGGGAGAAGGCATCCTAGTGGTGTCCTGTTTTCACTTAGCTGGATAAGGGCGGTCACAGAAACAGAACTTCATCTCGGACTTCACAGGGCAGTACAAAAACAAAAACAAAACCATTCTGAGGTGACGTCAGGGAAAGAAATAGGAAGTGCAGTGTCCAATTTTTATTTAGTCGGATAAGGACAGTCATAAAAACAAAAACAAGCCATTTTGTCTTCACCATCACTTTGTAAAAGATGAAAAAAAGAAACTAAACAGTTCCGTTCCGCTGACTTCACCTCTGTGGTAGCTTTCTATCTTACAGTGAGTGACTCTGTGTGTCAAAATAGAAATATATTCCTTAAAGTTTTCAAAGGCTCAGTGTTTGGAAGCCTTTAGATTCTTCTGCCAAGGAACTTCTAGATGAACTTGAACCTCAGCCTTCTGGTTAACAGCTGAAGGTGTTAAACATTTGTTTAACCACTCAGCTTAATACCCAGGATTGACCAAGTTCATACATGATAATCATTGATAACCAAAAAAGCTATATTTCTGGTAGTTCAGATTCACTAATGACTTCTGAGGGAAAAGACAGACGGGCAGTCTACTTCCATAAAGATGTATAGCTCTGGGGTTGCTTTGAGTTTGAATCAACTCCATGGCAGTGAGTTCAAACTTTTGAGCTTTTTTTCTTTTCTTTTTTTTAAAGTTTTTATTTCACATTGGTTTGCTTACACAGTTCATATACATTGTGTTTCACACTATTCTTCATTCACATTGTGTTTCACACAATCATTCTCATTCTTTATGTTTTATAAAATTAATCACCATTGAACTATGCCCACCGTGACCTGGTCTTTTCAGGTCCCCCCCAGATCTTTCCCATTTCCTTTACCTCCTCATTCCACCCACCAAATTGTGCAACCCTGTGATTTCGCCCTCACCCATGCTTACCACTCTGCTGCCCCCATGCCTTCTCAAAGCTTGCTTTCCTTTTTTAAAAAAAAATTTTATTTTATTTTATTTTATTTTTTCTATTAGTTTATTTACAAAATACAAATACAAATTTGAACAAATTCTTTCAATATCCCTCATCCCCCCACCCATCAAATTGTAGCAACTCAATGAATACCCCAACCCCCACCCCCCGGCACATCCACATCCCTCTGTTTCCAGCTTCTCCCATCCCTCCTGGATTCTCATACTCATTCTACAATAACAGGTTTCTACAATATTCATCCTTGTGGGACTAAGTTAGTTCACTCAGCAAAATGTTCTCCAGTTTCTTGAGGAGGGGCAGTTGGTGGGCTGACCTTGGTGTTTCATGGCACCCCAGTGGAAATGCTGCCATGAGCGGCCACAGTCCTTCCCTTATGGGAGCATCTGAGAGTTTCTGCTTCAGCACCACATGCACATTCTGGACCCATTGTCCCAAGGCCTCCTTTGACACCCAGGAATCCAAACTAGCCTTATTATTAAGAGGAACGTAATGATTTCCTTTTTAAAAGCCTGAGGCCATGCTAAGACCCAACTATACTTCTACACAGCTTTCCTTAAACCTCCCGCTTTGGTTTTAATCAGAATTCACCTTGGCAGGGTGTGTTTTAACCTCAAGTGGAAGCTGACTCAAGAGGAAAGGGCTTGAAGTCAAATAGTTCTAATCTGGAAATGAACTCACTTTCCATCGAGTCCACCCCCAAAGGCAAACTCAAAGCACAAAGACGTGTTTCATAAGATGTTCCTTTCTTTTAGGAAGTAAGATTTCTAAAAGTAGCCAACAGACCAGTGGGTGGTGAGAATAGGGGACAGGATTGGAGAGAGGCCCATGGAGGTCGGGAGTTGAGTGTGCATTTCCAAACACTCTTCTGGCATCTCTGCTTGGGAGACAGAGAGGCTGGCAGGGGCTTGGTACAGGCTCCTGAGAAATCAGCCTAGCTGGCAGGGACACAGGGAGCAACAATGAGTCTCTCTTCCCCAAGTGTTTGCATAATGAGAACAGTTAGGTATGTTTCAGCCCCGATTTCCAGCTTTGCTGGCTACTTGGCAGAAATCTTCACTTTACCCCAAGCTTCTGGACACATTGTTTTAAAGTTTTCCTAAAACAATGCTGGTTATGCCTCAATCTAATTCCAGTAGCAGCTCACCCACTGATAGGGGGCTCCAGTGGCTCAGTCTGTAGGGAGTTGCCCTGCTAGCCCCAAGATCGAACCTCTGCCGGTTCAGATCTGCTAATAGCTCTGCTATAAATCAGTTTCATTTCGGTGGCAATGAAAGTGAATTACTGATTGTGAAGGCGCTATCCTCACCTCACCTCACCTCACCTCACCTCATCTCTCCTCACTGTACAGCCTCATCTACCATCAAGCTTCACCGTTAGCAGTCCTTACACAAGGTAGAAAACATAGATTTTTATTTTTTTCCATTTTCCTTTTTTTTCCCCCCAGGGTGAGTTCTTATCTGCCTTCAAGCAGGCTTCTCGGAGAGAAGATGATATTGCCAAGGTGACCAGTGGCATGAGAGTCCTTTTTAATCCCGGAACCACGGAGGTAAAGGAACTGGCCATTTGTTATGGTGGAATGGCCGACAGAACCATCTCAGCCCTCAAGACCTCTCGGAAACAGCTGTCAAAGTAAGAGCCAAGAGCAAAAGGAACGCTGCAGCTGCTCCTGCGGCTGCTATCAGCATCACTGCAGTTACTGCATTTATTACCTTTGCCCTTACTATTGGTACTACTACTACTGTCTCTCCTACTATCACTACATGGTAGCTCTATCAGTATTTCTGCTACTACGACTAAGAAGCTGCACTGCAATCCCAAAGGCATGTGGTTCAAATCCACCAGCTGCCCCTATGGAGAAGGATAGGCAGTCTCTTGTCATGTGATTTGCAGCCTCTGAAAACCCACTGGAGGGTCAGCTATGGGTTGATTCTGACTTGATGACACACTGCAACAACACTAATGCTGCTGCTGTTAGTTTTATACTAGTGATATTGTTGCTGGTGCTAGTGGTGTTACTAATGTTATTACTACTGTTACTGCATCTGATGCTATTGTTATTGATAGCCCTGCTACTATTGCTCTACTATTACTATGATTACTATATACCAAGCACTGGACCAAGTATTCCACTGTTACTGTCTTATGTATTTCTTACAAAAACCATAGCTTTTGAGTTCAGCTCCATGGGTCCAATTCTGACTCTAGCACTTACTAGATGAGTAGCTTAAGTCCAGTCCATTGGTCTCCCTATGTCTCAGTTTTCTCCCTGGCAGAACGGATATAAGAATACTTTTGTTCTGTTGTACATGAGGTCACTGTAAGCTGGAGCTGACACCTAACAACACCTATAAGTTGTTACAACACCTGGAAGACACCTAACAACAACAATGACAACAACTTACCATACATACGTCTTAATTTAAATAAAAATGATGTTTCATATACCGTTGCTAATAATCTGCTAATGTATTGTAAATAGCAATATTTTTGTGGATATTTTAGTTGTCTCCATCAAAATGACACAGCAATCATTTGTCTATTTGTTGTACTGAACAACTTGGAGTTGTTGTGATGCTGAACACTGTTCCATAGTAATGTCAAATACCATAATGGTTACCCATTATGTACAATGTTTGGATGAGCTTCAAGATTGATTTATGCTGGGAAGCAGGAGTGGCATCCACTTTCTAAACTAGATGCCTCTGGAAGCTCTACAAATTCTCTAAGCTCTATAAGTGTACAGAAATAATGTGAGTCATAGAACAGAGCTCTGTACATAAATGATGTTAGTTATAGAACAGAGTTCAGGTCTTTTGTGCAAAGCTTACTATGAGTTGTATTCAACTTGATGACACTTAACCACAACTAAATGAGACTAGTGCTGTTATATCTGGAGGAACATTCTTCCACTTTGCACATAACTCTTTAAGTAACCTGGGTTTGCTGTGATGCTGAACTTTGTACCATTGGGGTATCAAATACCAAAATGGTTTCCCATTTTGGACAGTGTTTGGCGGAGCTCTCAGTTGTAAAACAGGTTTGGAAGCAGGAGCGGCATCCACTTCCTAAACCACATGTCTCTGAAAACTCTATGAACTTGGAGAAATGACAAGAGCTATGGAAAGGCATTAGGTCTTTTGTTCATAGAGTCACTATGAGTCATGCTCAACTCGATGGCAATCAACAACAAAAACAACTATCAAATATGAGGGAAGCGAGAATCAAAGAGGCTGAGTAAAGTGCCTAAAGCCACATAAATATCTGAGCCAAAGTTGGAAAGAAGCCTTGCACCCCACAGCTCCCAACAATATAGCTCTGGGGCTGGCTGGATGTGACCGGCTATCACTTGCTCTCTGGCAGATTCTGGAACGAGGAGCTACTGCAGGACGTGTGTGCAGGCCTGGCTGAGGAGCTGCACCTGGCGCCGGACGCCCCGGGAGGCATGGTGGAGTTCCGGCGCACCCTCACCCTCAGCTTCTTCTTCAAGTTCTACCTGACGGTGCTTCAGAAGCTGGGCAGAGGGGACTCAGACGACAGCGTGAGTGAGGGGCCAGGCTGGGCAGAGATTCTCTGCAGATTCTTGTTTGGGGATTTAGGACACAGATCTGGGGTCGACTCTAGCGGTAAAGTCGCTCTTGTTCTCTGGAAGCCTCAGGATGAGGGTGCAGAGAGTAGGTAACTTCCCAGAGTCGTTAGAGTGGGAGTCAAGTGCTGAGCGGTGGGAGGATCCCACTGGGTTGGGACTCAGGGAATATGGCTCTTGTCCTAGCTAGGAACTTGTCATGACAATTTTGACATGTCTCAGCTATATAATCTGCAAAAGGGGCTGGGGGCCACATGCTATCTAAGAGTTTTGGAAGTAGTGTAGCCAATAGAACTGCAGTTTTGAGGTTAAAATGAGAATGGAGAGCGTGATAGGGAATGGGGAACATGGGGCTTCGACAACAAGGAGGACACATAATCTCTGCAGGAATGTACATTCAGAAGAAGGCTCCAGTAGAGACGGATCCAAGCACCTGAGCTTTGGAACCCTAATGGTGTAGTTTATTACATGTTGGCTGCTGCCCCAGAGGTTAGAAGATCAGCCACTCCATAGGAGAGATAGGAGTAGTGTCCTCCTGTAAAGATTTGCAGCCTTGGAAGCCTGATGAAGGGTCACTGTGGGTCAGGCTCCATTCAAAGGCAGTGGACCTTAGTAAGGTGTCTCTAATGCTGGTGGTGCTGAAGTTGAAGAATTTCATTTCTAACTGAGAGCTCAGAGGTTGGAACCCATTATCCTCTCTACAGGAGAAGGATCAGGGCATCTGTTTCCATAAAGATCCACAGCCTTACGTTCTACTCCGCCCTACAGGGTCACCAGGAGGGCAATCCACTTGATGGCACTGGGTTTGGTTATTTCAGTGTGACAGGTGAGGGGATAGGGTGTGGAGGAAGCACAAAAGGAAGACTGTACAGATTCTGAGGCAAGAGAGCTAATGCCCTTCTTAAAATCAGTAAGAATGCTTTTTTCCCTGATTATAAAACATGACAGTATTTATTTAGCATTTAAAAGATATATCTAAGCACATTTAGGATCAGGCTGCATATTTACAGGAAACCATTTGCCATCAAGTCAATTCCCCCTCATTGAGACTCCATGTGTTTGCAGAACTCTACCTCATAGAGAAGTCAAGGCTGTAATTTTTGAAAAGTAGTTTGTTAATCTTTTTTTCCAAGATACCTCTGGGTGGACTTAAATGCTTAGCTCTCCGAGCTCACATTTGGATGCTGAGACAGATCTGGTTAGTGTGCGGAGGTGTATAAAATGAGGAGGGGAGGGCAAACTCACTTCCCACTTGATGGTGGAGGAGGAGAGTAGCAATCTCCCCTTCATGGTCGTCTCTGCTGTCTTATCTCCACAGAAGCTTGGCAAACTGGACCCCACCTTTGCCAGTGCCACTTTACTCTTCCAGAAAGACCCTCCGGCTAACACCCAGCTCTTCCAGGTGAGTAGCAGACAGGACAGTGTGTAGTTACTTTCAGGGACATTTTCAGACCCTGCTGTTCTTCATAACACATGGTGCTGGCTCTTGGTAAATGAGCAGGTTAAATTGTATGTAGATGTACATAGTTCCTTACCCTGTTTGAAAAGATCTGATGAAGAAAATGAGCATTAAATTGATGTCAGTACATATATTCCTTACCCTTTCTCTAAGTTTCTCTCCTAGGAGTAGATTCTTATCATCACTTTTTCTTTAAATAGAAAGAATAGTTTTCATCTTGTTGTAGTCTTGGGGCTAATGTGAATGTCTAAAGTCTTCAGAATCCTTCCCACGTTTCCCCTGGGTTCTTTGTTCCAATTCTTTTCCCCCGCCTTCCCTGTCTCTTCCTATCTTTTGAGCTTTATTTATTATTTTTTTTTTTTAAAAAATACTGCTCTTTTGGTCTCACAAGATTGATTTTTTTCTGAGAAGTATGTTCCTCACAGTTGTTAGTTCCCTTTAAAAGCCTATTACTTGTCTGAAAGAGGCTCCCTGGAGGACAGCGTCAGTTCAGATGTGGAAGGTGCCTGACCCTGGCAATAGGTCCAGGGTTCGGCCAGACTCTATCACATCAATGTGTCTGATCTTTTTCGTCATTTTGAATTTTGTTCTACATTTTTCTTCCTCTGCAATTTCCACCTACTGAAAACGTGCTGGAGGGTCAGTTATGAGCCTGTTCTGACTCTATAGCAACGAGTTATAGGTGGACAGATGTATGCTATAATACATATTCTTTTTTCCTACAGGACTAAAGTAATTTTTGAGTAAAAATTTTTAATTTTTAAGTAAAATAGGTTTTTATCCCATTTTTATTTTTAACGTAAACATTCTTTTTTTTTTCTAATTAAGACTCTGTAAAAGTCGGTTTTAATGGTTATATTCTGTGACATTATACAACTGTTGTTGCTGTGTACTATAGAGTCAGAGCCAACTCACTGCTGACCCTCCAGCGGGTTTTCAGAGGCAGTTAATTCCACGGGAGGAGACTGCCCATCCTTCTCCCACAGAGCAGCTGGTGGATTTGAAGTGCGTGTCTTCTGGATTGCAGCGCAGCTTCTTGCCACTAGGCCACCAGAGCTCTATATAAGTGTAGCTTGATTTATTTACTCAATACCCAACTCTTGGACAGTCAGCTTCCTCTCTTCTTTCTGTTTTATTTTCTCTTTATTTTTTATGCAGTGACCCCTTGCCGTCCTAATAAATTCTTTGCTATGTTTCTACATCCTGCGTTCTTCTTGCTTTGCCATCTGGCTCAGAGTCACAGTTCACCCAGGACCTCTAGGAGAGCCACGTGTTAGCAGCTGGAACTGACTGGTGACCGTGTTGTTTCAGGAAGTCCCCAAGGATCAGCCTGCGGAGGACATGGTAGGCCGGCCCCTGCCTCACCTGGCTTCCAGTATGCAGGCCTCCGGGGAAGCAGTGTACTGTGATGACATCCCTCGATATGAAAATGAGCTCTCTCTCCGGCTGATCACCAGCACCAAGGCCCACGCCAAGATCAAGTGCGTATATGGAGGGACGCGGGTCCCGGGACTATCTTGCGGTTTTTGTGCTCGCTCCCAGTCAGGATCCTGAGGTAGAAAAATACCAAGGTTCTTCCAGGGTCTTCTAGGAAGCATCCCTGGAGGGAGGAAGTAGGATGTCCATATTTGAACACCACGTCTGGAGAAGAGCAGAAGTTAGGGCCTCAGTGATGCCAGAGGGGATGCCTGCATCAGAAAGACAAACTCAAATTCATTGCCATTGAGTTGCAATTGACTCATAGCTGACCTTCTAGTGATTTCTGAGGTGTGAATTGTATAGAAGGAGATTCCTACCTTTTCCCCTTGAAGCGGCTAATGGAGTTGAACCAAGCACTAGAGAGACACGTGGGCTGGCTCTCTATACTGTACCACCAGAGAGAGATAGATAATAAAATTGGAGAGCTAGGCAAGCCCTAGATTAGGGAAGACTTGATGCACTAAATGGCCCTAGTGGTATAGTAGACTAAGTGTTGATCTGCTAATTAAAAGACGGACAGTTAAATTTACTAACTGCTCTATAGAAGAAAGATAAGCAGTCTCTGCCCATAGAGATTTACAACCAAGTAAGTCCAGTGGAGAGTTGCTGACTTGGGACTGATTCAAGAGCAGTAAATTTGGTTTTTGTTTGGAGACACCCTCAATGGAAAGATTATTCTTAGCTCAAAAGACGCAATGGAGCTACTGATAGACTTCCAGCAGAACAAGGTTACATTTGTGTTTGGGATATCATGCTAAGCTCAACTGCAAAATTTCAGGAGAATTTGAAGAATCACTGTACAGGCAAGAACATGGTTTTCAGTTGTGACAGACGTAGGTTGGAATTCCTGCTCTAGTGCTTAGTAGCTGTGACCTTGGCCTGTTTGCTTAAATTCTCAACTTTGAAGTAATATAACACTGTTCTGAATAGCGAATACAACGTTTATGGCACCTACCACAGATTAACTACTACACAATTGTTCAACTTTGATAGCCTGAAGGGTACAAGTTATTGCGTTGATTATTTTTGTTGGATGCAATTGAGTAAATTTTTTATTCACAGGGAACTCATGTGACAGACTTAAACTGCTCTTTAGGGTTTTCTCCCCCCCCCTTTTTTATTATTAAATTTTATCAGTTTTAATGAACATTTACAGGGATTTTGGGTTTTCATTCCTTCATTGCTG